TGCCGCGGGACGAGGAGAGGGGGGGCGCTGGTGTCGGGGGGAAGGAAAGCGTGCCCGACGACGCGAAGGGGAGGGGGAGTGGCGGCGGGGCAGAGGAGAGCGCGACTGGCCGTGCCAATCGGAACGACCAGGCGAGCGGTGCCCATCGCGGCAATCATCCTGGCCGGAAGGGCGGGGAGCTTCGCGGTCCCGGCCCCTCAGCTCACGGCGGAGGTTCTCTTCACGCTGGAGGGCATCCGGGGAGGGGCGGGAGGCGTCGTAGAGATCGTCGTACCGACGCTTGCGTCGGGCCTCCCCGTCCTCCCAATCCCGCGTCATGGCCGAGGAGCGAGAGCGGGAAGGCGTGGCAACGGAGCTAAGGGGGAGGGAAGAGGACACAGGTACGAGCGGAAGCGAGGGTTCGGTAGGAGGAAGGTTGGTGGCGGCTGAGGAAGACTGAGGACGAAGGGGGAACCTATAGGGTAGCCAGATGCTGGACGCGGTGGGGTGGGCCTAGGGCAAGGCAACGGCCCAGCAGGGGTGGGCCGGCCCGCTAAGGATTCCCTAGCCAGGACCGGATCCAGGGCGCGACGGGCTAGGCAACCCACCCCCACCAGACGGGCCACTGGGCCACTGCCCAGGACACCAGGGCCTAGGGAGCGGGGCGGGGTACCCGGTCGGAGGGTTTCCCCTCGACGAGCAGGCGGCGCTGCCGCCGCTGGGGAGCACGGGGCGAACGGATGGACGCGACGGAGCGGCCACGAGGCCTGGAACTGGAGACCGGACGACCCAAATCGCGCGATAAACGGCCTGAACGGGGAGCAGCGGGCGGGAAGAGTTGAGTCGAGGACCGCATGCGGAGAGCTCGAACAGGCGACCAACGAGCCAGTGACCGGAGGCGATGGGGAGGGGGGAGACAGGGGGCCCGCCACGAGGCACGGGCAAGACCAAGGTCGGACCGGTCGGCGACGCCCCACGAGCGGCGACGGCTCCAGCGAGCCCCAATATGCCCCAAAGCCCCAGCTTTGGCACCGGTCCCCGGCCACCACGGCGGCAACCTCCGCGTGCCCGAGTCGGAGCCTCGCACAAGGGAGGCTAGACAGGGGGCCATGCTGGACGGTGCGGCCACGGCGGCGAGGGCCAAGCAGCAGGGCGGGGACAGAGGGGCAGAGAAGCGGGGCAGCTCGGGATCCACGTCTTCGTCCGCGAAGTCCGCTCACCGGAGCGGCGACGGGGAAAGGCTCGGATGGGAGACCTCAGGGGCCGGCACGGGACCAGGGTCGGTGACGAGGCGGGGGCCGGAGCGGAGAGAGGGGCGGCGGCGGCGGAGGCGGCGTCCGGCGAGGGCGCGGGCGGGTCGCCCGAGCTCACAATCACGGGAGCCATCCTCAGTTCCTTTGTATTTTTTTACCGTACTATTGTTTTGCAGCTTTTTTTTTTCATATTTCATCTAACTTAATGGATTGCAGACATTGAGTTTAAATTCTGCATTTATAGTGTAATTGGGCCAGATGTTCGTATTTTTTACAAGAGACATTTGTTGGATGGTTATATGCGTTTAGGGTGCGTTTGGTTCGGAGGATAAGTTTGAGTGGACGTGGACATTGCCAACCACCTGGCTAAGGATCGTCTTTCTTTGTTGAAGAAGATGTCAAGTGGCCAAGTGGCTAGAGATAATCATTTTTTGTTTGGTTCATAGGATGAGTACCGGACAGAAGTTGTGGTGACCTTTTCTGTTGAGACGGTGAGATTACCCAATAGTTGGCAATTTTTCACCATAAATGAACCAAATATTATATAAATAATTTTTAAAAAAATGAAAATTCAACTAAAGAGCTCTTATTTATTACTCCATATACAACATACACGCACTTGAAAAAAAAATAGATAAACACTTGAAAAACATAATAGTACAACTAGCATGGAATTCCGTAGACTTAGTTTAACAGAAAAACTGGCAAACTGGTTTCCTAAAAATCCTCCAAAAACCTTTTTTTTCGAGGGTACGTCAATGGCATACCTTAGCTTTATAGAAGGAAGAAAAATACGTACAAGAGATTACACATCGCTACCTAGGAGTCACAAACCGACCCTAACCAAGCCTCCACACCACTCCGTAGCTCTACTCGACTACTCTATGATCGGTTGTCCTCCGAAAGCTCCTGCTTTGGCCCAAGTCTTCAGCTCATCAAAGATAGAGTCTACCGTATCCAACTCGTTCTTGATTATACCCGTGCCGAAGACCCTCGCATTCCTTTGCTTCCATATCGTCCAACAGATTAGCATCACGAGAGTGTGAAAGCCTTTCCGAGACTGCTTATCTATTCGCTTCTCGTATCCGTCCACCACTGCACCAATCTTGAGTCATTTGTTGGGCAAAGGCCGGCCGTCAAACCCATCCTAGTAGTGCAGCGGAACCACACTTGCCGCGAGAACACACACTGCAGCAAAATGTGGTCAACTGTATCCTCCTCCTGGTCACACATGTAACATTTTGATGCTTGGTCTTGCAATCCGTGCCTAGCTCTCCTGTCCGAGGTCAATAGACGATATTGCACCGCAAGCCACATGAATAGCTTGCACACAAGCGGTGCCCAACACTTTCATATAGCTCCAAAAACTGATTTTCTGAAATCTTACATCTAATTCTTGGCATCCAAACAACCACTTACTTTCTGGCCTGGGGTTTGTTCCAATCTTGCTTCTGCCATTGGCCCCTGCCATCCCCGGGAGGACGAGCCGACTTGAGGAGGGGTCATCCAGATCATGACCGAGGGGAAGGTGGACCGGCAGATCGAATAGTGAGATGCCCTGATCTATCCGGGGACGGCCAAGGGAGGATGGTGTGTAGGACTGCTAGAATTTTTCTCCAACAAGAAAGGTTTGTACTACTAGAACACTACACTAGTAAGTTCCTGCTTAATAAAGTAGTAAGTACTTTATTAATTATTACATCATGTGTGGGTGGGGGTAGATTAAGGCCATATTTGGTTCATAAGTCCTACGACTTTTTCTAGTCCCAACTAAAAAGTCTCTAGTCCCTAAAAAGTCCCTTCCTCTTTGTTTCCAGAGACTAAAAAGTCCCTAGTCCCTCCCTAGAGGTTATTAAATGACCATGTTACCCCTAGTATATAGAAAAATAACAATCAACCAACACCATGGGGTGGCGGGCCAATGGGTGCATGGAGGAGCATTGTTTCAAAAAGTTTTAAAAAAGACTCTCCTTTAGAGTCTTCTTCATTTAGTCCCCAAAAGCAACTTTTAGTCCCTAATAGTCCCTCCTGTTTGGTTAAAAAGTCTCTAAGAGAGACTTTTTTTAGTTCCTACACCAAAAAGTCCCTGGAAACAAACACCCCCTAATACTCCCCCATCTCATAATATAATAGCGTTTATGACACTAGTGAGAGTAGTTTTCTTAGCTTTGCAAATGTACCAGATTGATTAATTACAAACTAGGAATGTTTCAGCATAAGCAGCAGCCCTGCTGCTACTACTCATTCGCTCGGTCGTCAGATGGTGCGAGAAACTGATCGATCTGTGAAGGAGTCAGGCAGGCAGATCGAGGAGCGCACGCACATCCGTACGACTCAACAACACCTTTACGTCCCTCAACTCTCCTTGACTGCGTCTTCTATACCTCTGAATACCGGCCGGCTACCACCTCTTGACTCTCTCTCGCTCGCTAGAGCTCATGGCTGTGTTAAGTGTTAAGTGTTATTGTCAAGCACTTATTACTCGAGCTAACCTATACGTTAGTTACTAGTTGTCGTTTAGGCTTAACTCGTAACCATCACATCACATATCAGAAAGGTCGTTCCGATGAATTGGTCCAAATCTGTCCGTAGACAACGGTGAAATGATAATACAAAAACCTGCCCTTTATGTTGCGTTGCTAACATACTACTACTATCACAGTTAGCCAATAGTTCTAGCTAGTACTAGCAGCTGGTAAAGGAGGGTTGACACTATCAAAACATCCCAAAGTCGGGGTCTTGAAGGCAGTCCAACCCCCTACCGTAGACATATATGTGGTCAAGACAACTAGACAAGACTGGCTCAAGTCAGAATCTGCAGGTAGATCCATCGATATGATGCATATTCCAGAAGATACAGTTAATCTAGCTAGCTACATGGGCCCGATCCTTCACCTTTGCACTTTCATAATCCTGCAACAACACATGTTCGATTCAAAAATTAATCAAAGCCGCTTAGCTAGGTAACAAATACCGAGAGTATCTGGAATATGTTAACTCTTAGTTTAGCTATAAGCGAAATTTGCACCTCACCAACCGCCACTGATAAAACACTATAATAATCACCGTTGTTCAAGTCCATGCCCGACTAATCCTGGAACATACGGATTAAATATTAATCAACCGTGGAAGCTTCTTCTGTTCTTGGAGCTAGAGAACGACAGAGTAACCAGCCACAATATACATACACATCGAGAGACATGAATATATCTGACCCGGTTCTTTGGTCGTCAGTGCTAGTCAAATCTCAGATAGACAAGAAACAGAGGGGGATTGCGCCGCAGCAATCCGGAATTTGGCGCCTTCCCATGCATGCGTGCGTCACGTCCGTCACCTTTTGGCTGCCTTGCTTGGACGTGTTCAAACTTCAAAGTTAGCTTGTGAGAGGGTGAAGAAAAGGTTTCTTTATATGATATTGCAATCGAGTGCTTTCTTGACCTATTACACGCCCATAATTCGCACTATCAAATCCTAATGAATCCTACTTTTTTAGTAGTTTTTGCGTCTCCCTATTCCCTCCCGAACTTGGTCGCCGTCGTGGCTGATCTCCTTTCAGCTGCCATCTCTATATATACATGGCTCCACTAGAGAAGAGAGGAGAGGAGACACGTACGTACTACTGCTGCTCAACTTTGACACTTGAAGAACGTTTCTCACTGACCGATCGGTCGATCCATCTCTGCTCTCGGTTCAACGCCGGCCGGCGACGTCGACCAGCTATCTAGCTAGCGAGCGAGCTCGTGGCATCGGTCGGTCGATCGATCGAACATGGAGGAGTACTCAGCGTCCTCCTCCCAGCGCGGTGGCGGTGGCGGCCGCGGGGAGCTGCAGGGCCCGCGCCCGGCGCCGCTCAGGGTCCACAAGGACTCGCACAGGATCAAGAAGCCGCCCGCCTCGCAGGTGCGGCAGCCGGTCATCATCTACACGGTGTCGCCCAAGGTCGTGCACGCCAACCCCGGCGAGTTCATGTCCGTCGTGCAGCGCCTCACCGGCGCCTCCTCGTCATCCTCCTCACTCCCACCGCCGCCACAGTCGACGCTCCCGTTCCCGTTCTTCCCGCAGCGGTCGTCGTCTTCCATGCTCCCGCCGGCGTTGCCGCAAACGCTGCCGTTCCCGTTCCAGCTCCAGCAAGCATCTGGGCCGCAGGCGCACGAGGGTGCGCTGCTCCAGCATCAGCACTCGCCTGCCGCGCGCCTCGCTGCCATCGAGCAGGCGTCGGCGCCAGCCGCACGGAGCACCGGTGTTCATCGTGGAGGGCTGCCGCCGCTGCCGAGCATCCTGTCTCCGGTGCCGGGATCTCTCCCGGCGATCCCACCAGGCTTCTTCTCTCCGCCGGCCGGCGGAGCTGGCGGTGGCATCAATCTGTTCGGCGAGCTGATCAGCCCGGCATTCCATGGCCACGGCGCGCTAACCGGCACCACCGCCGGTGCAAGTCCTACACCAATGTCATTACAGTATTTCCCCGCTGCAGCTGCGCCGTCGCCGTCGACCCCCTACTATTGGGATCTCTTCAACAACCACCCAAACCACCTATAAATGCATCTGCAAGACTGCGTGTGGTCAGCTAGTTACACGCGTGGCTACTACTCTATATAGTACGTATATCGGTATATGATCGATTGATTTCCATTTCCATGCATATGCGTCGCCGTCTGACAGAATTGGTAGTTTTTTAGGGGAGAGAAACAGGATTAGTAGCTATCTTATACATTTGGCATTGATGAGATGTGATAGGAGCGAAGACATTAAGAGCAAGTTAGATAGATAGATAGCCTAAGTCAGCTGGTACTGCTGATTACCCGCATGCTAACTGCAACGAAGCTTCATCCAAGCTAGCAAGCTCGTGTCTGCTCTGCTACGTAGTCAGCTGGTATATGTTTGCACCCCAACTTTGGAGGTGATCGATGATAGAGAATTAGATAGAGATCATATGGAAGACTCTCAACTGATGTATTCATTATTTCTTATACATAATTGAAGATAGACATACATAATGCTCAGTGCTAGTATGCCATTCATTTGTAACAGAAGTGTGATTGATTTTCTATAATTAATAATCCTCGTGGTTTTCATAAAGTAATTACCTCATGTTTAAGCGTGCATGATCACAATTGATTGATATATTCATAGAGCATCTCTAGCCGATCACCTTATAATTTAGCCCCTTACATCTTAACTCATTATATGTGATCAGCTAAAAAATGGTTCTTAGCCCAATCCCTAAAACTTAACTCCCTAAAAAAACATTTGCCAATTTGTCTTAGCTTCTGTATATACACACTAAATTTCAACTACATATTTGCACACATATTAAATTACAATTTAATAATCAAAGTTCACACAATTCATAAATATTATAATTAATATTTAAGTTCATAAATCAAATTATTATTCAAATTCAAACACACAAAAGGGTCCAAAAGAGCACATAGAAGCACAACAATCAAGTGGTGCTATCGAGTTGCTACTAATGCTCAGCACGGTCATCTTGGAGTTGGGTATGAACTTCTCGATTCACAATGCTTCGCCGTGTGGAATCTCTATATCATATATACACCGTGTTCCGGCTCAACAGGACCCCCATTGGTTATGTATTGAAAGTTCTCTAGCATGCCTCTCTCATCTTCAATGATGATGTTATGCAAGATGATACAACATGTCATTGTTGGCCATAGGACCTATGGGTTTCTATACTCGGAGGGACACAAATAATGGTGAAGCGCTTCTGAAGTAGACCAAAAGCTCTCTCAACATCCTTCCTTGTTGATTCTTGGAGCATTACAAAGTGAGATCTCTTGTTGCCTTGAGGACACAAGATTGTATTCACAAATGTGGCTCATGGAGGATATATGCTATGTGCAAGGTAGTAACCCATCATTTACTGACGTCCATTCACAACATAGTTGCAAGGAGGAGCATCTCCGGTAACAAGCCTTGTGAACTATGGTGATCTCGATGGCACATAAAGATCATTATGAGAGCCAGACAATCCAAAGAATGAATGCCAAATCCATATATCCTCCAATGCAACTGCCTCAAGAATAATTGTTGGATCTTTGGAGTGCCATTTGTACAGACCTTTTCATCCCACAGAACAGTTCTTCTGTGTCTGGTGCATGCAATCAAGTGATCCAAGCATACCAAGAAATCCTCTTTTTCACTCAAACCCAAAAGCCTCTCGGTATCTTCATCATTGGGTGATCTCATGGTACTCTGATCCATAGGTCTGAATCACGGCTTGTGTGTATCTTAGAGCGGCCTCCAAAATTGAATCTTCCCTGATGCGGACATAGTCATCAATGGCGCCGGACGAACACCAATGGGCAAGCACTCGAACAGTCGCGATAACTTCATCAAATGGCTCGCACTTATCTCATCATCCTCAATTTAAACCAATTATCATGCTTCTCTATAACTTTTTCAATGGTGAGAAAGAGACATTGGCGCATCTAAAACTGTTAACGAAAATACTTCTCCGCATATGTTGCATTGGGGTTGAAATAAATCCTTCATAATCTTCTCATAGTCCTCTGCTTATCTCGATTGATGTACAAGCAGCCAAATTGTGATCCTAGTCTCGTCTCTAGAAGTCCTCGTTAAGGATCACTGCAATGCCCATTTCAAATTATCATCATCTTCTTCCTCCTCGTCCGACAAAAGATTCGTCGAAGACCATCTCCCTTAACCTCTTAATCTACACTATGTAATATTCTAAGTTGATTTTTGTCGTAGTAATGGTTTTTCTACTTATGGTTTCACCCCCCTATCCTGCATGGAGTGCCACACAAGCGGTCAACACAAGTCAAGGCACTCAACAATCATCCAAGCCACCTCATGCACTACAAAAAAACACTTTCGTGATGATACATGTTTATCACAGTAGGTCACGTTTTCTATCATGCATGTACATCCATGACGATTTTATGATAGAATCAAGATAGTCATACCTGTGCTGTCGTAGAAGTGTTCCATGACATTACCAAAATTATCATCAAAGAAGTGTTCATTTCCATGGCGATAAATGCCGCATCATGAAAGTGCTTTCGTCAAGGGTGACCAACACGTGGCATCCACTGTAACGGGTCGTTGTTAAGCTATCGGGTCCGATTTTGGATCCGATAACCCGCTAACAGCCACGACCAATGCCGATTTTCCACGCGTAAAATTCTCATTGGCTGACGGAATCACGTGTCAGCTCTGCGTTGACACGTGGCCCGGACCAAAAGTGACCCATAACGATTAAATGGGCCGGCCCAACTAAAGGCCCACAAGATTCTGCGGACCATAATGGGTCAGCCCAGCTAAAGGTCCACAAGATTTTGCCGACCATAATGGGCCAGCCCAGCTAAAGGCCCACAAGATTTTTAGGACACTAGTGAGCCGACCCGTTAACAGGCTACCATGTTTTGGGCCAAATACCGGCCCATATTTGACCCGGTCCATTAACAGCCTGCCATGTTCCGGGCCTAATAAAGGCCCATATGAGATCCGGCCCGTTAAAAGCCTACCATGTTTTGGGCCAAATTATGGCCTAGATCAGATCCGGCCCTTTAAGAGGCTTTGGGCTAAATTATGGCCCATATCAGATTCGGCCCGTCAACTGGACGCTATGCTTTTGGGCCCACTTGCTAAAGACTCATTTAGTAATTCAGCCTGATATTAGTTTCGGCCTGTTAAAGGCCCATTTAACATTTCGGCTCTAAATTTATTTCGGCATGTTAAAAGCCCGTCATATAGTTGAGCCTAACTACGACCCGGTTTGCATCCGACCTGCTCACAGCCGATAATCTGATTGTGCCAAACAAGGACCGAGACAATTTTTGCCTATTAACGGCCCATGATGTGATTAGCACAATCATGGGCCGGGGTCTATTTTGGCCTGTTGTCGGCCCATGAGCTGTTCGACACATTTCAGGCCCAACATACTTTTCAGCTTACTAAAAGCCCATTAAGTTTATTGCGAAAATAGGGCCGGCGGTTTACTCGGCCTATTAAAGGCCCGAATCTACTAGTGGGCTAGTTTACATTTAGGCCTGTTAACGGAGCAAGATGATTGGGCCCATGATGCGGATCATATATAGTGATTTGCATGACGGCCCGATTATGTACCATAATTTTACGGTACAGCAGGATATATATACAGTAAAATAACTGCAGCATCATAAATAAGAAAAACCTAGACTAACAATAAAGAAATCACGGCATATTACATCCATTGGGCATCAAAGTTCGCCACTATGATAATAAAGCACAAGCAGACAACAGATTACATACACTGGGCATCATGTAACATCCAAATTTTCAATTTGGAATGTTATACATTAGGTCATGATTGCATATCATATATTTATTGCCTTTTGGCTTGATCCTATAAATTCTACGCAACTCAAGGACCTACGGAGAGAGTTGGGAATTTCGTTGTTTTCAAATTTGAGTTTTTCTTGAATTATGAAAAGAGGATCATTTGATTTTAATTATTTTATCTTCGAATATTTCTTTTATAAAAATAAAGGAGAGAGGATAAAATGACTTCCTCAAAATTAAGAAATATTGGAGATTTATTATTAAAATCAAATAGGATTTTTATTCGGATTTTTATTGCTATTTTATTTGAATTAGGAAAAATATACATTTTTCAAAATTGCATTAGAGCCCCAAATAAATGTTCACCTTGTCGGGTAGATTTTTAGAGGACGGGCAAAATTTATTTCAGGATTTTTGGAGTTCGTTTAGTATTTCTTTTATTCGTTTTTCTGCGCGGAATAATTTTTTCTTAAAAACAGACCTTGGGCCGTATCCGCCCGGGACTCCGCCCGGGGGAGGCTTTATAAGCCGCGCCGCCCGAGCCCCGCAGCCGACCTCTGCCTGCGCCGCCCCGCAAACCCTAGCCGCCGCCGCCGCACCACCACCACGCCGCACCGCCGCCTCACCGTCGCCGAAGGTAGCCGTCGCCGCTGCCCTCGGTTTTCGCGAGAAAACCGATCGTTTTTTTTCGAAACCCTAGATCCCTTTTTTAGATCGGTTTTTTTCGGTTTAGTTATTTAGCGGACGTTCGTTTTAACGGACGGATTTCGCCCGTTAGCCGCTGTTAGCGAACGTTCGTTCGTTAGACTGTTCGTCAGTTTTTCTTTTTCTCGGATTTTTTCGCGATTATTTCCGATCCTGATTTCTGATCCGATTTTCGTTTTAGTTTAACTTTTCACTTGTTTATCGGAATCAGGTGATTCAAGCGCCTAGAGTTTCTTCACGAAACCCTCTTTCTGTTTAATCAACTTAAACAAGTTTTTGCTACTGTAAAATTTGACTTTAGTCCAGATTAGTAAACGAAGTTTGTTTCTTTCGTAGTTTGAGTTTCGTTGCTTCGTTCGATTTGATTCTTTTTGCAAACCGAAGTTCTTAAGTTGAACTTTCTGATTAGATCTTCTTATTTGAGTTTACCCGTGCATCTTTGCTTGATTGCTTATTGTATGCTTGTTTGTTTGCGATAGAGTACCCGGAGTGCGAAGCGTGCTAGATCGAGTCTCTAGGTTTCATGG